TCTTATGCTTTATAAGTAAAGGAAATTGAAAACCAAATTTTGCTTCTTATATAGACCCTTGACCATCAAAGGACTTTCAGAAGGCACTTCAACGAGTCAAAGGAGAAGAAATTCTTTTGTAAGTGGTAGGCAAAGCAAGATTTACTGAACAGTAATCCTGGAAGGAGTGAGGCTTACTAAGAAAAAGACAGAAGAAAATCATCTACACACAGACAATTTGTTTCCCATTTAGAAAGACAAGAAATGAGGATAGTCCTTGCTAGAGAAGATCATAGGCTTTTTCAACAACCTCTTGATCCCAGAAAGTTTGCTACTCTTAAATACCTTTAATGTAGAGTTTAATTTAAAGCACATATATGTTTTATTTTTACTTTGTCATTATATAAAATTAGTTAATGCAAAAAGGAGAGAAAATTACCCAAATTCTACCACCCAAAGTCAAATATTAACCTTTTGTCACAGTACTCTTCAGTAGTAGTCACTTAAAAAAATAGTTCCATTAAATATATAGCTTTTATTTTATAGTATATTTGCATGGTTTATAAAAAATATTCAAAATATCTTCATTAATTACACAATATTTTATCAAGAAGGAATGTCTTTATTAATGTTAAACATGCAAAAGTTAGACATGCTATTATTTCAAATTGTTTTTAAAAATTCTACAAAGTTCATATTTATGCAAAGAATATACACTTGACTGTTAGAAATGGGGTTACATTTTTATGGTTGTTACCTTCATTTTCATTGCCTTATTCCAAATTCTATCATAGTTCTCAATGCACAGTATAATCTTAGCAAAATCAGACCACATTAAAATATATTTTTACTATAAATATCAAAATACTGTATATCCCGTTAAACTAACTTGCCAAGTATTACATCAGGATATTTACATTACATATATATGTATTATAGATAGACAAATACATACTACTATATTTACATTACATATATATGTATTATAGCTGGACGAATACATTATATAATAAAATACATACAAGAATATGTAAAGCATAACTAAAAATGTATGCAACACATCATATTGTTTCCTGAAGAAAGCAAAAGTGCAATTGAATCACACTTCCACTCTAATTCAACAGTATCTCCCACCCTTCTTCCAGAGGTAATCATTATCCTATCCCTGGTTATTATTGTTTCCACTGTGTTTCTTTATGTTTTTTACCAATTCACTTTCTCTCACTCTGATTTCAACAATTCTTTGACGTAATGAGATGTCTGCTGATTTCACCTTATTTCCACTGTGCGTCATTACTTTCATAGTTCGTATATCATCTTACTTTAATTTTCTGCTTTTTACTCAACTTTCTTTTATCCCATCTGGTCTTACAATATATAAACTTTGACTGAATCCATATAAGCAATTTTTAAATTCCTTCTCCCTGGCAAATTAGTATGAATGTAGAAAAATATACAAAAATTCTAACAAGATTTATTTTAAATATATGACAAATAACATCAAATCAGTCCTTTAGTGATGCTTTTCTATGAAAGCTAATGACGGTCAAAAAGAAAATAAATAGAACACTTATTTTCATACATGAATGTTTATATAGAAAAACTCAGGGAAATAAACAAGTAAATACAACTAATAAGTCAACAATTCAAAATAAAGTATAAAAGTTTATTAATAGCAGCAAAAAATGAAAATTATGTATAAGTTTTTACAAAAATGTATTCAAGATTTATAAGATAAAATCTTAAAAATATTTGAAGAGAAAAATTTTAAAAATCTAAATAAAGAGATAGAGTATATCTATTTTTTCTCCAAGTGATCCTTTTTTATTTCTAGTAAGTTAAATTTTACATACAATGAGATTTTCAGATATTAAGTGTGCCATTTGATGAACTCTGACAAATGCATGCACCTAGGTAACCCAATACCCAATCACATGCAGAACAATCAACCCAGAAAGTTTCCTCATGTCCTCCTCATCCCCCACCTTTCCAAGGATGAACACAGCTCTTTTTTCCACAATAAATTAGTTTTGTCTGTTTGAGAACTTTATGTAGATTGAACGCCATGATATGGTATGTACCCTTTTGTCTGACTTCTTTTGATCAACATAAAGATTTTGAGGTTCGTATGTCTCTTGAGAGGACCAGCAGTCAATTTGTTTTTATTGCCAAATAGTATTATGTCACAGTTTCTTTTGCTACAACAAAATACCTTAAATTGGGTAATTTATAAACAATAGAAGTTTATTACTCACAGTTCTGGAGGCAGAAAAGCCTGAGATCAACACACCTACAGATTCAGTATTTGGTGAGGGTTGTTCTTTTCTTCAAAGATGGTACCTTCTTGCGGTGTTGTCAAGGTACCATGATGGGAAAGTCAAGGGAACATGCTTAAACTTATTTTATAAGGACATTATTCTCACTGGTGAAGATGGAGTTCTTATAATTAGTATTTAAACTATTGCATCAGGTGTTAAGTTTCAACATATAAATTTTAAGGGGACAAAAATATTTAGATCATAGTATATTCTATTGAATAAATATGCCACAGTTTAGGAATATGTTCTCCCATTGATTAATACATATACTTAATTTTTTTAATATTATGGATAAAATTGCTATGAACATTCTTCTACAAGTCATTTTGTGAACATGTTTTTATTTCACTAGGGAAAACATCTTGGGGTAGGATTGCTGTGTCAAGGGATAGTAAATATATGATGAACCACCAGGTCTTTTTACAAAACACCCCAATTGTATAAGAATTCTGTTTGCTTTACATTCTTGCCAACATTTGGATTTGTCAGTCTTTTTAAATTTAGCTGTCCTGGTGACTGTGTATTCTAATTTATTTATATCTGTAAATTTTAATATTTGGTTTTTAATTGTCACACTGTATTTGTATATAGTTAAGGATATAATTTGATATTCTGATCATATCTACGTGGTATAATGAACCAATCAGATTATTTATCACCTCAAGTATTTATTATTTCTGTGTGGTGAGAACATTCAAGGCTCTCTTCCAGTGATTTTTTAATATACAACATTTTCAAGTTAACCATTGCTACCCTACTATGCAATAGGACACAAGAATTTATTCCTGTTAGCTGATTTTAACTGTGAGCCCATTGACCTATCTCTTCCCATTCTCTCATCTTCCTTCCCGCTACCTACTTTTGGTAAAGAGTTAGACTCTCTGCTTCTATGATATTAACTTTCTTTTTATCCTCCTCTTCCTCCTCCTTCTTCCTCTTCCTCTTCTTCTTTTTGATTTCACATATGCATGAGATCACATAGTAATTGTCTTTCTACATCTGCCTTATTTCACTTATGATAATGTCCTTTAGGTTCATCTATGATGTCAAAAGTGACAGAATTTTATTTTTTACGACTGAATAGCATTCTATCATGTATATATATCACATATTCTCAATACATTCGTCCACTGGTAGACAGGCACTTAGATTGGTTTCATATCTTCTCTGTTGTGAATAATGCTGCAAAGAACATGAAAGTGCAAATATCTTTTCAGTATGTCTCTGACTGAAAGACTCTATTTGGTGAAGATGACAATTCTCCCTTAACTGCTCTGTAATTTAAAGGTAATCTCAATCAAAATCCCAGGAGGTCATTTTGGAGATGTTGACAAGTTGCTGCTTCTAAAATTGTATTTTTCATTTCTTATTAAATATAGTTCATGCTTGCATAAGCTTTATTAAAAAACAAACACATTACAATTAAAATTTATTTCTGCATTATTGACAAGATTTTTTACACAAAATTATATGAATCTATGTGTGCATCATGAATAATATGATTTTTATACCTGAATGTTGTCTTATATTATTTATTTCTTTAACAATGCATCTGTCCAAAATTAACGATCCAAATGACACTCCCTGACTACTTGGTTCTTTAAAAAAAAAAAAAAATCATTTGATTGTTCGTATTCTTGACCCTATTGCTGTAGCATCTGGACAAAGGTTGAAGTTACAAAGACAGAAAAACAGCAAAGTGTAAAGAAAGAGCTGAAGTCCTTGTTAAAGAGGCAGTTTCTAATTTGCCAGGTATGTGTATACCTAAAATGTTATTTCAGGATTACAAAATGATTCTTTCAAGACTTCATCTTTCTTTTACCTTAATAGCATGGTAATGAAGTCTTTAATATGGAGACCTCCTGTATGGTGAGACTACCTATTACATGAGAGTCTCCAAAATTATTGCTTATTAATATCATTTATTAATAGCAAGAAAGTGTTTAATTTGCTTATTATTCAATGTTATGTTCACTAAGCTTCTAAGAAGTCTTAAGCATTGTCCTGTGTATTGCTGATACAAGGCTAAATAAGACACAGTTTTTGTTTTTAGGGTGTTTGCAGAGGAAAATAGAACTTATCTGTACATTAAGATATAGAACTTAAACTTCCAAATTTGAGTAAAACCCAAATTAGATAAGAATCAGTAAAATGTGTTTTTCTGGAAAAAATATTTAATACATAAGTCCAGATCACTGGTTTTATTTTCTTGCAAAAGTATATATGTGAAAAGGCCTAATTTTTATAGTCACTATTTTTGCATTTTCTCCTATGTAAATTTCTCAGTGTTTACAGAATTCGGTAATATTACATAAGTTATGTGTTGTAATTGTTGGTATTACTGATTTTGCATTATTTTATAATAATTTGCATTTCCAAAAAAGTAGATAAAACACAGATAAATTATTTCAAATGTTTTCAAAATTTAAATCCAAAAACAAATCCCAGAAATTAAGGCATAGTCAGATTGACAGATGTAGGTTGTGCTATTAATCTGTGACTTGGTCTTTTGAAGTTACTTGGAAATCAAGTGTTGTGTTCAAATATTAAATATCTGAAGATAATTGAATATCTCATTAAATTATGAGCATTTGATTTAAAGATATGTTCAATTTGCGTATTTCAGCTAGATAAACCATTTCATCACATTCAGGTTATTACTTAGAACTAACCCAATATATCTATAGAATGACCCACTAATGGTCAAGTTACTTTTTTGGAGAAAAACATTTTCAGGACATGGTCACGGATTTGCTTGGTCTTTACTCCATAGACAATAGGGTTGAGAAAAGGTGGGACTAACAGGTAAAGGTTTGACAAGAGGATATGGACATATGGAGGTATGTGAGAGCCAAATCTGTGTGCAAAGAAAGAGAAGAAAGCAAGGAGGTAGAACTGTAGGAAAACACAAATATGGGCAATGCATGTATTGAAGGCCTTGTATCGTGCCTCTTTCTGGGGCAGTTGAAAGACAGTGATAAAAATGCTGACATACGACAAGGTGATAAAGATTATGTCAAACCCTAGGATTGTGAAGGCAACAAATAAGCCATATATTTTGTTGACTCGGATGTCTTCAGTGGCCAGCTTCACAATGGCCATGTGCTCACAATAAGAGTGGGAGACTACTGTAGTTCGGTAGAGTTGGAGACGATATTTGATAAGCAGTATGCTGGGTGCTATAAGGATGGCAGCACGGAGTGTCACCCCAACTCCAATATGAGTCAAAAGTTGTTGAGAAAAAACGGTGGCATGTCTCAAGGGGTAACAGATGGCCACATAGCGATCCAGGGCCATTGCAAGCAAGATGCCTGATTCAATTGCCTGAAATGAGTGAATAAGCCACATTTGCAGCAAGCAGGTATCAAAATAAACCTCTGGCAAATGAAACCAAAAGATGCCTAACATTTTGGGAAGAATACAAGTGCTAAGTGAAATGTCTGTGGCCGCCAACATGGCCAAAAAAATGTACATGGGTGCATGGAGGCTGTTTTCATGCTTGATAATAATTAGAAGTAAGGAATTTCCAATCACAGCAATAAAGTACATGCCACAGAAGGGAATCCCGATCCAACACTGCTCTGACTCCAGACCAGGAATCCCAATTAGTATAAATACAGAGGGCATGAAGACTGAACCATTGAATGCGAGCATGGTCATTTGTTAAGTAGAATCAGGTAGTAGAATTGTTTGCTCTTCTAGTCCCTGTTGAGACTTGATGAATTAAAGATAATAAGTTATTAATTAATTTTAGCAAAATACATTTTAATTAGATTAAGTACATATTATCTTATCTTTTCTATTCTAATTACTCTTCTCCATTTTTCTCTTTTGTATCTTTTCTTTTTTTCTTCTTTTTTAATAATATTTCTCCTTATATGTATTGAAATTCATATTGAAAAATGAGTTCTTGGTTGCAAAAGAGGTTTTATTTTTTGCACCGGTCTATCTTTTCTAATTTTCTCTCTCCTTTAGTAAAATTGTTGCGAGACCAACCATCAGGTTCCACATTTCCCCATGTGTGAATTATTTTCAATGAGCAAAATTGATGGACTAGATGTCTTCTTTCTGTTTCATGACCACTGGAACCAACAGATTCCTTTTATCTTATATTTGCTACTCAACATCTGTTCATTTTTTTGTGTCCTGCTAATTGAAATTGGATGAAAATAATAATTTAATGAAGAAGAAAAATTTAGACTCCATCTATATTAGCCATACAAGATTATAAAAAAGCAAGCAAACAAACAAACAACAACAAAAACCACAGAACTGCTATATCATTCTACTTGATCATAATCAGAAAACAAGTTTGACTGGAATATTTTTCAGATTTTTAGTTCCCTACTGTTTTTCTCAGGTTAGTTTCTTCATAGTCTGAACCTTCTCATATGGAATCTTTCAGAGTTCTTTCAACTTACATTTTCAAATGTTCAATGTCTTCCCATAACCCAACCATATATCCCACACTTTGTCCTACTTACTCTCTGAAAAAATTTATCCCCTATTTTTAAATTCATGGGTCTTTTTTTCAGCAGTTCCTATCAAAGCCTGTTCTCATCCCCATACCCTACTGCTATGTACACATCTCTTGGTTTTAGTATCAAGTGCCAACTTTTACTCTCTATTTTTCTCTTTCCCTAGAAATAGATGTCATTACCTCCTCAAGCTTGAACAGTTATTTAAATTTAATCTGAAATTACATGTAACTTTCTATAAATATTTTTCTCCCACACAGCTTCCCACATATCTTCTATTCACTCAATGATTTCTGTAGAGATGCAGATTTTCGTTTGCACATTGTTTGGCAGAGAACTATTTCCATCCTAGTGTCTCTCTCTGCCTTTCAAGGTCACTCTAATACTTGACACTAAGGGGCATATTTCAGTGTAGAGAGGCTTTGTCTTTTCATCATATTCCAAGTTTAAGGGGATTTTACTGCCTGCTGATTGTTTTCAACCTGAATTGATCTCTGATTCAAGAAAATATTTACACCACAGAATCTGTAAAATATTGAATAATTTATGAATTAGTGTTTTTTCAGTAATTGTAAAACTTATTTCCTGAAACCATTTAAGCATGGTGTGAAGCAGATGAAGACAGCAGAGAGGCCTAAAACCACGGACTAGTAACCAGAAAAAAATGTTACTATTTTATCTTCTGTATCACTCTTCAACTGTTTAATTGAATGTTTGCTTTATTTTTTCTTTGATATACTTAAATTGTCTCTGGGATTTGAAAGAACATCTGTAACGCATCTCAGGTCAATTACATGAGCAATTCTTTTCTTTTTCTAAAATTTACTCAGCTTTGAGAAAAGCTTTCATTTCTGAAACCACTTGTTTAGAGACTCTTCCTTTTGGCCTACACACAATGTACTTAACTAGATTTTCCTTATATTGGAGGAAGTATTACTACAAACAAATTACATGTCTATTCATTAATTTTATTAAAAAAATAAGAATTACATATCTACTATGTTTCAAGTATTATTTGAAGCAATTGAACGAACAAAGACAAATTTATTTATTCTATATCTATGAAGCACCTACATTGTACTGGGTGCTTGGTCTTCAAAAAGCATCACATAAAACTTATTACATTTGTGTTAAATATTATTTATTCTCTCAAGATTTTTAAACACTTTACATTGTTTTACCTTTCTTATCTAATGATATTAGCATTATAAGTCCATCATATTAATGAAATTCTAGGATTTATTGTCATAGGTAAATTGACATGGATCCAAATTCCATGCCATATTGACCCAGAAATAACAAAATAAGCTATTTTGTGCAACCTGATATTTTATAGATACAGCTCAATAAATAAGGAGTTTGAGATATTTACCAGAGTGTATTAAATTCAGGCTGGACGGCACAAAAAATACACTGATGATTTTAATCAGTATGCCTTTTCAAATTCTCATAGAAATTACTTTCATATTATCTTAATTTAACAAAAAATACAGTACAAATAGTAAAAAATATGTTGATAGTATACAACCTGCCTAATGTATGTCTACTTCCTCAACAGTATATAAGCCATATATTGACCAAGAATCTTTGCGATTTTGCTAAAAAATGTATACTCTGCCTTTATCAGGAATATTAATTTGAGTAGTTTAATACTAGTAATTGTCCCAAAGAATCCTTCAAAAGTTACATATAAGCTGAAGCTCTGACAAAGTATATATTGTGAGTACTCAGTGAAAAAAACAAACAAGAAACAAGTTTTTTTTTAAAAAAAGTGAACAAAAATAGAAAAGCATACTTTCACTTTAAAAGATCATAGATCATGTTGAGAAAGTAATTGTCTTCCTTCCCTACAGTGTTCTATTTCTAACTCTTATTAAGCCCAACTGATATTTTTTAGGACAGGTGTCCACAATCTCAACACAACTGACATAGCCAAAAATAATTCTTTGTTGTGGGGTAGTTCAGCTGCATTGTAAAAGGTTTAGCAGTATCCCTGGTTCCTATCCATTAATTGCCAGTAGCACTTCCTTATAGCAACAATTACAAAATGCCTCCAGGCATGGCCCAATGTCCTCTATATGTGTGGGGAGGCCACATCCCTGGTAGTTAACTCTTGTTCTAAGGTTTCATATTGGAGGGGAAAGTAAGCTTTCCATTTAATAAAGATCGATGGACTTATGAACCTTTGATCAAACTGGGCAGAATAGAAGGCTATCAAGGGGGAATAATTATTCAGTAGATATTTGCCACTAATATCTATGATATCTAATAATAAGGAAGATGGAGAAGAACAATCTATAAAAAAGAAAATAATGTGTATAAAGCCACAAAAGTGTTGAACATTTGCTGGAATTGTCAATCAATGAATATTTTACCACATAAATTGTTGATCATAAAAAGTAATAGTTAGGATAATGAAAAGGGAAGAAGATCAAATGTAAAATCTCTATTTTAAGCCAAGTAATTTAAAGTTTGAAGATGGCCAAGCAGACTTCTGACCTTTAAAAAATCCAGTCTGCTGACAGCTTGACAAATGACTTGAGGGCCTGAAAGTTAGGGGGTAGAAAGATCTTGTTAGAAAGCTCTTTGTGATAGTCAGGATGGGATCATAAAAACTGATGTGAAAATAGTGAGGGGATAAGAACAAACTAAGGTCTGTGAGACTCACTGACATGATACAGGATACATTGAGAGATGAGGCTAAAAATCTGGAATTGTGATTTACTGCAATGAATGACAAAAAACAATCAGGGAACAATCTTGTTTGCATAAATATGCATATATTTAAGACAGAAAAGTTTTCTTAAACACTTGAAATCTCTGAGCCAACCTAAACAATATATTAATAAAAATGTGAGTCTGCTTGTGTGACTAACCCTTGAATACCAACTACTCCAGTTCTGACTCAGGCTAAATCTCAGGATCTAAAAGTTCTAAGGGATTTAAGCATTTAAATTCACACTCCCTACTAAGGTTAATCCATAATCTTCACAATATCAGAAAACTCGCCCTTTTATATCATCTCTGAAGTTTACTATTTGATCTCTGCCTCAAACTCTGAAGTGATAGAATATTAACTCACCCTCTATCTCTCTTTTTTTCTGAGAGAGTCTGCCACACTGCAGGACAGCTCCAAGTGTCAAATATGTCTTCTTTATATTGAACTTCAAACTTGCTCCCTCTTAATTTCTCATGAAAGCTCTAAACTGACATCTTACATGTCAGTAATAGACATCAGCTATAGATCAAGGCAGTTAATTATAAAGACTGATGTCATTCAAAAGATTTCAAATCCTGGACCTGTCATTGTCTGGCTTTTCATTCCCTGAAACCAGTTATAAAACTTCTCAGTACCTCAATTTCCTCAATGGTAAGATAAGACTGATAGAAAGTGACACATTGCAGAGTAACTGTAAAAATTAAATGACAAAAATCATTTTACGTATTTAGAAAGAAGCATAAAATTTATTGATTTGCCAGCTATTAATCAACAAAAACTTATACTTCTTTTCCCATGAAATAACTTTAGATTATTGATGGCACAATGCACATTTTTCCCAAATCTTCCCTTCTAAGCATGTATAATTTCCTTGCCTTTTAGCAAACAAGCCTTACATTTATTCATCAATCCAGGTAACCATTCTCTAGACATCATTTTATTAGTCATTCTCACTAAAAATTTGCCACTCAGCATTTCATCAACTGACCCAGAAATATTCTAAAATGCCTGAGTTACTGTGATGAAAAATTTTTCTACAATTTGAACACTCAGTTATTTTATATTGGATCACCAAAATACGTATTCCCTTTAAAACCAGTCTTCTGTTTTCCCACATGCTATGCAGAATCTCATGCTCAAAGACTTACCAGGTATCATCCATAGACATATAAGTAGAAGACATAGAGTAAAAAGTGTGTTTCTGTTTCAGGCAGTGAAGGATGAATATTTTCTACTGTAAAATGTCCCTTTGGGATTGGGTCTTACCAGTCTCTAGTCAGCTTGAGACCCCTTGGGGCAAGTCTGAAAAAGGAGGCAGAATATAATTCAGAACTTAGAAGATTCTTTATCTAATAGGTGTTCTGTATCTAAAAAATAAAAATCTTCAGGACTTGGAATCAAAATGAACTTACTATTGCAAGTTTATAAGACATGATGTTGTCCCACGAATGTTACAA